GTTGTTGAACATTATTACTTCTAAAGAATAATTATTGTTGGGACCCCTGGTGCACGACCCCCCCGCCGCGCCTAGGCCGCAGCCTCATTTTCATCATTTTCGTGAGGAAGTCTCAGGCAAAACGGGTTGGTCCGGATCCGGTTGTGTTGTTACGATCGGTTTTCCCTTGCAAAAATAAGCTAAAGTGGACATTTCTTGTTCTAACATAACCAAACTTCAAGAATCCCTTGCAAAAAATAAGGTAAAGTGGACATTCGCGCGCGCAAGACGAAATCCTTCCAAAACCTTAGTTTTCGTAGCGATTTTAACATAAAAACATCAAAAAACCAATGGTTTTTCAAAAAAAAATTGTCAAAATTTCATCCCGCGCGCTCTTGCGGATTCGTAGGAAACCCAACACTTTTTAAACATTTCTGTCAAACGGGCTTTTGCGAGCAACTTTTTCGAACTTCTGCAACAACGGTTGCGCACCTGCCAGGGCCATCATCCCTGTCAAATAATACCATGCGGGACACATTCGTTTTTTCTTCGCGCGCGCACGCCGTCGTCGTCGGCCGCGGGGCCCTGAATAGTAGCCACGGTCGTCCGCATGCCACGAAGTGAAGTGTCCGAACGTCATAGGGCGGGAAGCTGGGTGTGGGTGGTGGCGAAGAGTCGTTTGGAAATTTGGTAGAGCTTGAACCGGCCCCCCCACAAAGTGGGGGTATTGCCCGCCTCCTATGAAAACCCTGGCACTGGTGAGAACGGAGTGTCCCCACGTGCTAGTAATTGTTGTTGAACATTATTTATTCTAAAGAATAATTATTGTTGGGACCCCTGGTGCGCGACCCCCTCGCCGCGCCTAGGCCGCAGCTACATTTTCATCATTTTCGTGAGGAAGCCTCAGGTAATACGATGTCATCAAGATCCGGTTGTTTTGTTCCCCCCCGCTGTCCCTTGCAAAAAACACTATAAAATGAAATTTCTTGTTCTAAAATAACCAAACTTCAAGAATCCCTTGCAAAAAATAAGGTAAAGTGGACATTCGCGCGCGCAAGACGAAATCCTTCCAAAACCTTAGTGTTCGTAGCGATTTCAACATAAAAACATCAAAAAACCATTTTTTTTTTTTTTTTTTTTTAAAAAAAAAAGTGTCACAATTTCATCCCGCGCGCTCTTGCGGATTTGCAGGAAACCCAACTTTTTTAAACATTTCTGTCAAACGGGCTTTTGCGATCAACTTCTTCACGTGCTTCGAACTTCTCCAACAACGGTTGCGCACCTGCCAGGGCCATCATCCCTGTCAAATAATACCATGCGGGACACATTCGTTTTTTCTTTCCGTGCGCACGCCGAAATCTTCAAAAACCATTGGGTTTCGTAGGAATTTTAGCACCGCGCAACATAAAATCATTTTTCGCACCGTAGGCCCTTCAAATCGTCGTC